TTCATTCTAGAATTAACACAAATTATAACACGAAAACATAAATGTTTAGACTAAACAGCTTAAATCTCATAACATTATATATATATATATAGATATATATATATTTATTATTTTTTAGTATATTGACCTTTCAGCCATGCTTGGCTAACAATAGAGAAGTTACAATGATGCGACAATGTGCACTCATGTTACCGTATCAAATAACATAAAACTGACCTTTGGTGTGTACAAAGTAACTTGTCTTGGCTGTGTTTTAGTACAGTCACATTTCAATTATTATACATTATATATGTATATAGATTATTGCTATTTTGAAATAAGTTCTTAAACATAATTTTTCTAAAACATCAGTAAATAAAGAAGTAAAGTAAACAATCATCTCTTCTAGTTACAATCTTTGAACTCGGTTGCTGCTTGATGTAGGTTGCTGAAGCCTTTAAAAATTTTGCATATGGGAGATACATGTATACATTTTAATAACTAAAAAATCATAAATTATTACATTAATACCATAGAATTCCACTATAATCTATAAAGCTTAGTAACTAAGATGTATTTTAGTCTAAAAAAATATGAAATTTCAAGCAGACTAAAGACACACCCTACCTTGTTGAAATATTGGTTCAAAAGAAAGAATTGGTACAAAGTCCATTAAAGTGCTGAGAAAGCCACTAAGGGGACATTCTGAGCTTCTGATTGGTTATTCATGTCATATATAGAAGTAAATGTATATGAAGGAGTGTTTCCAAAAATGGAAAGAGGTGGGCAGGGTGCCACTGTGTTTGATCTATTACATGAGCAATATCTTGGCAAATTGAAAAGATAAGAGGCTCTTATTTTATATTCTTGCTTGTCAATATTGATAATTTCAATTTATAATTAGTTCGAAACTACAGACTTAGTATTTTGACTTCACAAACATCTAATTTGAACCAATGCTGCATTCAACATACCACATGACACACAAAAATCGATGTTTATCTGTGTTTTTTTATATATTTGCTTTAAAATTAAGAAATTGAGTAATATATAGTACTCAAATTTGAACTATAATCTACAGTTTGATACCAAACTTATTGACATAAATTCAAGAAATAGTCAACAAATGAGATGACATGGCCTTTCACCTGTGACCAGTCTTGAAAGGGTCAAAGTGTATGATAATTATTACAGGGTTGTAACTGGAAGAGAACAAACTGAGACACTTGCCTCACTCTATTTTGGAGCTTTTACTATGAAATGCAATTAAAATTACAAAAGGTAACATTAATGTTGCTAGAATATATGAACTTACCAGAATATTTGTAATATTGGCATGAGCAATAATTACTGGACTTCAAACACAAGTAGGGGACACCAGAACTTCCAAAAACTTGAAACAGTTCTCTTCCACTGCATGAAACAACATGCTTGACGTTCCTCCGATCCACAAGTTCCATTGCAGGAAGCAGTATACCGTGAAACATGAAATTCAGGCTTTGTATAGAATAAGAATTTATAAACAGAGGCTCCACTAACAAATATTGTAATAAGAATAACTGTGTATATTTCTAAAAAATAATAATAACAGAGGATAGTGAATTAATAATATTAACCTGATATCAGAAAAACAGATTTATGAAGTCTTAACATAAAATGATAAAAATCCTATAATCCAATGCTTTCAAAAAGGTGGAGTTTCTTCTTCAGGGGTAAACTGGGAACCAGCATGGCATATATGCATCCCACTGGCTTTTCAAACACATTTTTCAAAACTGTTTATGCACCAAATTTCTTGTGGCCCTTTGGCTACAGGGTTCCTAATAACATACATGTTAAAAAATGTTATAAAAAAAGAAACCATCAATTCTACATTCAATCCTACTACTGTTGGGGTTTCATATGTATTTTATTAAAAAATGAGTTATTTCACCTAATTTTGTGGTCAGTTCCTGAGTGTTATAACAGGCAAAAAATTAAAATTATGCAATATTATACAATACATGTGAACCCCAACAGTAGTGAACAGTATTTTAATAAAAACCAGTAATTTCTGGGTTAAGTAATAACTATTGATTCTTATTGGAAAGACATAGACAGAGGTATGTTAGGGAAGTACCATTATATAACTATTGGCCATTTTGCCAATATTGAGGTGATAACTCTTCATTTTATTCTCATGATCTGAAATATCAATGGACACGTGGAAAAAACTTTTGTTAAAAATATATTTTTTGCTAAAACAAAACAATGCTCACAAATTTGATCTTAGTGCAAAGAGACAAACATAAATTATTCTTGGAAGTGCAACACAGAATTTTCTTAGAGAGAGTTCAGCTAACTTTTTTTTGCTGAAGTTGAAAAATTTACTTTTTGCTTGTTGAAGCAGTCCAAGTGACATCTACCCTGTTACGGATTGAGATAATGTTTCGATTTGAAATAATCAAAAGCCGCTTTAAATAATTTAACTTTTACTAGTTGAACTGTACCCTGGATTTAGTGTTTAGAAATATGCCAATATTTTATTTAACTTATGCTATTTGCCAACAAGATTGATTCACACCATTTTTGTTTTGACACAAATATGTTTTAATATATATATATACAACAGTATAAGTTACAATGGCAACTATTACGATTAGTTATTACAAACCAAATTTCATAAAAAGAAATTTCACTAACTTACAAATAGCCTAAAATTGTCTTCCTAGTTCAGAGTCTCCTTGATATCCAGCAAGTTAATGTACATATAATTGGCGGGAAGCTAGCTAGCTTTGTCAGACATTGAATTGTTGGACCATTGAAGTAAGATAATATTTTCATAAAACCAATAATGTTCGATGAGAAATTAGTAATATTCTTGGAAAGATATTAACGTTTGATGAGAATTCACCGACGTTCAAAATTTATAACTGTTCCTGGTCAAATGTTGTATATTTTCCGGTTGATAAGGGTTAGCAAAATCACAGTTTATAGCTTACACAGTTATAACAATTTCCTAGTAGACTTGTCTCTTCTCTGTTGTTTTTATAGGCGAGACATATTTTCTAAAACTTCTGATAATACCGGTTATGGAAGTGAATATATATTGTTGATTTTTGAGTTCATGAATATTCTACAATCTTGGAGAATTGGTGGGAGTTTCAACATACGTAACTAACACGATAAGCTAGACACACACTCAAATATAAACTTATTCGAAACAAACGTTGACATTAAAATAAATATATAACAAATTTGTTATATGCAACACATATCTGATACTGCAAGTCACGCCTATTTCTAAATACAGATTCAATCCAAACAACGTTCATATTAGAAATAAATACATAATAATAAATTCGTTACAACTCCCTCCTTAGAGAATTAAAAATTGGCTTTTGACAATTTTTAATTAAGACATTATATATATATATTGGCAAGATTACCTTATGTATAATACATTATTTAAAGGGTTATACAGCTTCAATAATGATTACAATATAGAAAACAACCTGTACAAATCACTTTATCACAAAATTGTATAGTACATAAAAGTACATTGGCACAAATGTTATAAACCCTTATGATATGGATAATCTTCAAATCATATCCTCACAATATATATAAATTGCAATCTAACAACCTTATATTTTATTTTTATTTTCTTTCTTTCTTTCTCCTTTTCTGTCTTTTTCTTTCTCTCTCTCTTTCTTCCTTTCTTTGTCTTTTTCTTTCTTGTTCCTTCCATCTGTCTTTTTCTTTCTGTCTTTATCTCTTTCTTTCTTTGTCTCTTCCTTTCTCTCTCTCTTTTTCTTTCTGTATTTTTCTTTCTCTCTTTTTTCCTGTCTTTATCTCTTTCGCTTTTTCTTTGTCTTTCTCTGGTTAGACTTTCCGACCAACTAACAGGTATGATAAGCTTTGCAAAATTGATAAATGTCTTGTCTAATTTTGGCCAAAAGAAATATCTCATAATTTTGTCACCTGTCTTGTTGACACCTAAATGATCTCACATGGGGAGTTCATGGGCAACTTGCAATATTTCAGAAGGACATGCTTTGGAAACAACGATTTGATAAACTACAACCCAGTCCTCTGAAGCTGGTACATCTGGTGGTCTCCATTTCCTCATAAGCACACCATTTTTGAAAAATAACCATTTGGTATTTTCTCCAGTTCATCTTTTGGGAGTGCGTGTTTAAATAGTGAAGTGATCTGCATATCTTTTTCTCATTCGGTGATCAGTTTACTTTTAGTAAATGGAACTTCACTATGTGAATCAGATCCTCCATGTTCATCGTTGTCCCTCACCGAGACACATTTTCTAGAAACTTCTGATAATACCGGTTACGGAAGTGGATATATTGTTGATTCTTGAGTTCACGAATATTCTACAATCTTGGAGAATTGGCGGTAGTTTTACCACATGTAACTAACACAGTAAGCTAGACACACACTCAAATATAATCTTATTCGAAACAAACGTTGACATTAAAATAAATATATAACGATAAATTCGTTACAATCCTCCACATGAGAA